AAGGAAAGGAAGAAAGGTGGGCCTACAACAGATATGGGGGGAGCTCATGCTCCCCACCAGGTCTGCAGCACATTCCTCTGTAGTGTAGCTCGAGGGCAGCACATTCCTCCCCAGCGTAGCTCGGCCCAGCCTGGAGTTGTGAGTTTCGTTCCCAACACCCAGACTTCCCGCGCATGCCTGGCCAACCAAGCGAGGTCAGACCCGGGTTCCCTGAAATGGGTGTCCGTCACCAGGCAGTCTCGGCTGGAAATTGGTGGCTGGAACAGACACTCTTTGGGACACCCAAAGAAAAGTACTTCTCTGAAATTTAAAGCAAGGGAAGTGAAACTAGCATTTTGAGATCATTTACCTCTTTCCGAAAACACTTCTGGTGCCCGCAGAAGATGACTTCAGCTGCGTTGTGCAGAATAAGAAACACAGGCACGGGCTGAAAGAAAACAGAATAATACGTGTGAAAGTATTTTCTCCAGTCTCGAGGTTCCCCGACTGTTGGCTTCTGCTTAACCGTAAAATCTGGGGGAACTTCGGAACTCACATACATAATCTGTCCTGCAAAGACCTTTCCAGATGGGTGGGTCTTTGCGGTAGCATTTTTCTTGGAGGAGTGGATGTCAAGGCTCGGTCCTGGGTTTTCCCATTGGCAGACATTTACTAGGCACCTCAAGGGTGACCCGCATGATGCCAGGTGCAGGGGACACATCTGTGAATAAGGTGGAGGTGCCAAGCAGCCTGCTGGGGGCTCACACCCACCCGGGAGAACCTGCCTTTGTGGAGGCGGGGCCCACAGCCTAAGCGAGAAGGGAAAAGTAAACTAAACCCAGAGCACAAGTTTCCCAGGCAGGGGGCCCTGGAAAGAACAAATCCAGCTCCCCAAGGAAGGGGAGGAAGCAAGAGTGACAGAAAGAAGCCAGAGAGGTAACCAGGCGTGTCCAGGGAGGGGCATGTCCGGGGGGCGTGTCCAGGAATGGGGACAGAGCTGCAGACACAGGAGCCACCAAGGGGCTTTGAGGCTGACCAGGCCCTGAGAGCACAGAGGAGGAAGAGATGGCCTCACGTCTAGTGGTGTCACAGGCCGGAAATGGTTCCCAAAGATGCCACAGCCTAACCCTCGAGGTTACGCAGGCTACCTTACAGGGAAGGAAGAGGCCATTCACATGTGAGTGAATGGATGATCTCGATGTAGGGAAATGACCTTGATTGTCCCATGGGCCCTAAACGCAATCTCGTATCCTTACGAGCAGGAGCCAGAGACTGGAGTGATGTGGCCACAAGCCACGGAATGTCAGCGTCCGGACCTCTGGCACCTGGAGCTTCAAGGGACGCATCTCTACAGTTTTTAGCCACCCAAGGATGTGGTCATTTGTTGCAGCAGCCACAGGAAACATAGGGAGTGGGCAGATGGTGGCCTCAGCTCAGCAGCAGATGTGATACTGGAAGAAAGTGGCTGCTTTTATGAAATACTTAGGAGCTGGGACTATGTTAAACATTTGGGTAACAGATCAACTCTGCACCAAAAAAATGGAATAGATATGCAAAAATGGGACATCGCAGTGGGTGACAGGATAGGCAAGTGCCACCTACTGCACATGCGCTCAGAACAGGTCTCTCCCGGCGTGACAGGTAATCTGGGCAAGGGGATGGAGCAGGTTAAGGGGCAAGGAATTCTGCTATCACCTTTGTCATGAAGATGTTTCCTGGAAGGCAAAAATCATCAAGAATAAGAGCGTGGAGCCAGGCGTGGTGGCACATGCCAGTAATCCCAGCTACTCAGGAGGCTGAGGCAAGAAGATCACAAGTTTGAGCCAGCCTGGACAATTTAGTGACTGGCTCAAAATAGAAAGTAAAAAGCTAATCTGGGCATGATGGCATACACCTGTAATCCCAGCACTCAGGGGGCTGAGGCAGGAGGACTGTCACAATTTTGAGGCTACTTTAGGGCTGTGCCTTCAGTGCCAGCCTGGCTTTTTTGACAGACACCATCTAAAACAAAAGAGTAAAAAAATAAAAGGGCTGAGGGTATGCCAGTGGTAGAGCATTTGCCTAACACGCACAAGGCCCTGGATTGCATCCCTAGTACTACAAAGGGTGGTGGAGATAAGAGGACGGTTTTGTATCAGACTGGGCTCCAAGCCCGGGCTCCTCTGTCTGCTGGTGGAGCCAGGCATGTGCTTCCCTCACCGTGCATGGGGACAGCAACACTACCAACACTACCAGCTTTGGCTTCTGGGTGGAAGAACAGAAGTCAGGAGGGGAGGTCGGCAGCCTGAGCTCTCCCATTGGCAAGGACTACCCCAGTTTACAGCACCTACCAAGGATTAGGACAGATTTTTTATATTAGGTAATGGGGACGGAACCCATTGCACTGAGCTCCATTTCCAGCCTTTTTTATTTTTTTAATTTTGAGATAGGTCTCACCAAGTCACTAAATTGCCCACAATTTAGTGCAAACTTGCAATCCTCCTGCCTCAGCCGCCCCAGTGCTGAGGTCAGAGGCATATATAGCCACATCTGCCTCTGTCCTCCTTTTTATTTATCTGAAAGTTTTATTTTCATGTGTTTTAAGATTATTAGAGGGGAGGGATCTGTTTTTATTTTAATTTTTTGGTTTTTTTTGCAACAAGGTCTCACTATGTACTGCAGGTTGACCTTGAACTCACTTATGTAGCCCAGGCTGGCCTCAAATTCACAGCAATCCTCCTGCCTCAGCCCCCGCCTTCAGGGTGCTGGGATTGCATGTGTGTGCTATCACGCCCAGTAGGGATGTTTTCAAAGCTGGCTTCATTCATCAGGCCCCTGCTTGGCAGTTGGGTCCAGGTCTTCCGGTACTTGCTGTCCTTGGCTCACGGGGACAGACAGTGTGGGATGAATCGGTCATGTAGCGCGTGAAAGTGAGTACGAGAGTGCGACCTGGACCTTATCAAATTACAACTTAATTAAAATGGCATTCGCCTCACTGGCCATAAACTCAGTAATGAGATCAGATTTAGGATTGAGATTAGGGAACTCTACAGCCTCAATCTAGACTTCCAGGAGGCTGAACATTCTCAACTTTATGAACTGTGGACAGTTTTCTCATCTTCCTGAAACCCACTCTGATCACATTCTGGAACAGGACCTGCCTCTAGATGTAGAATTGATCTTAAGGCACACATGATAATAGCTACCAATAACATGTTAAGCGCGGTGCCAATTAACTTGTATTCTCTTACCTAAGGCTCCTCCCAGCAGCTCTGTTAGTAGATGTTAGTACTCTGATTTTACAGAAAGCAAACTGAGGCTTCGAGAGGCCAGGGAGCTGGCTGAGTGCTTGTAGCTGCTCAGGGGTGAGCTAGGACTCCCGTCCAGGTTCACCTGCAAAGCCCATGCTCCATGAAAGCTTTCTTTTACTTTCTTTCTCTCTCTCTCTCTCTCTCTCTCTCTCTCTTCTTTCTCTCTCTCTCTTTTGCGAGACAGGGTTTCACTGTGTAGTTCAAGCTGGCCTCAAACTCACAGGAATCCTGCTTCAGCCTCCCAAGTGCTGGGATTATAGGTGTGCGCACCATGCCCAGCAAGTAAAAGCTTTCTGAACCTCCAAGTGTCCAAAGTTCGATGTGGTTGGTGCATCCCCATTAGGGTTTCTATCTAGATGTCCACTAAGGGCCTCATGCACTCACAGGTGGGATTTTCAGAAGGTGACTGGCCCGTGGAGACTTAGAGCTGACTTGGGTTGGGAGGCAGGGTCTGGCCGGAACAGGCAGTCACTGGGCCATGGCCTAGAAGGGTTCATCTCGTTCTGGGCACCTCCTTTTTTCTCCCAGCTTCCCAGCCAAGCGGTGAGCAGCTATTTAAGATGCCCCTCTGCCATGCCACCCTGCCTGACCACAGCCTGAAACCTCTACAACCGTGAGCCAAAATAAACTTCCCTTCTTTAACTGGTGCGTGTTGCACCTCAGTGATGAGGAAGTGACAAAGACAGTTCCAAATGCTGGCAGTCCATTTACTCCACTGAGAAAACTGGTGGATCTAAAATGGATAAATTTCAAGTAAAGCCTATGCCGTTTGTGTGCACCAAGAAGCTAGCAGGTGTTAGAGACAACTGCTGGTTCACCCCACGGTCAGTGTGGTTGGATGACACCCTGGAGGGCAACAGGGGATGAGGCAGGAACCTCACCTTCAAGCTCACAGCTGAGCAGTCAGGAGGTGGGGTGGGTTGGAGAAGGGTCGCTGGTAGGATTTTCCTCCCTGACTCTTCTTCTGCCCTCTGCTTTCCAGACACAATGATTTGAGCAGTTTCCATTCTGCCATACCTCTGGCCTGATGCTTCTGCCTTCAAGTCAGCCAACCATGGACAGGGCACTCTGAAACCACAAGCCAAAGCAAACCTCTCCTCCTTTGGCCAGCAGGTGTCAGATATTTTGTCTCAAACAGAAACACGACCAATATAGTTAGTCTACAATTGACCAGTTATATTTTATCTGCCTGTGCAGAGATCTGTCAAAAACAACATTAAGAACCAGGCGGGGTGGCACATGCCTGTGATCCCAGCACTCAGAAGGCTGAGGCAGGAAGATTGCTGAGAGTTCGAGGCCAGCCTGGACTATGTAGGGAGTTTAAAGTCAGTCTGAACTACATAGACAGACCCTGTCTCAAAAACAAACAAACCCAAAAACCAACATTAAGACTGTTTGCCCTTGATGCTATACATCACATAATCCTGAAGCAGGAAGATTACTTGAACACAAGTTCAAGACCAACCTGAGCAACATAGCCAGACCTCAAAATAAGAACAATAGTTTAAAAAAAACAAACAAAAAGAAAACCCCAGTATCGAGGTAGTTTAAACTTCACTGATCTTTCCTCTGCCTGTAACCACAAATCCCAGTGTGAGATATACGACACCTGCTCAGGAGACCTGCAAGTGCCTGGATCTTCTGAAACACCTGGGCTTCATTGTCCTTATGGAATTAGGTTCAGCACGACTTGCCTTTTGCTCCAAGTTTTATTACTGCAATCTGGATTTTATCCGGGCCATTCACACAGGTACAACATAATTTACCCAACTCTCCCACCACCCTTCCTGCCACCCCCCGGCTTTATAGGCTTTATTTAGCTGGGTTGGGGAGAGGTCAAGGAACAGGACTTCCCTTCATTAAATCAAAAAAATTCTGAGAAACGGTAATAACAGTAATAGTAAGATATATTGAGTGCTGATGACATGTCTGACACCATTTCTACTTTCACACATCTATCCGTCACGATAATTCTAAGAGACAGACACTAATAACACCCCCACTGCAGAGATGAGAAAACTGAGGAAGTGTTGTTTCTTTTTTAAACTTGCTTTTTCTTTCAGTTAACAGTACTTTGTTTTTCAAATTATTTTTTAAGTAACTAAGTTTACTGGTACAATTTAGATATACGCAATGATCACATTCATCATGCGGAGTT